TTCTTAGTAAACGGTTTTGGGAAATGAAAGGCCTTTGTAAACCTTTTTTCTGAAATAAGATATCTTTTTAAATTCTGACTCATTACGCTTGAATTAGAGTTTGATCTCTTTTTTTAAAGCATGCACTACAAGGGGAAAGAGTAGAAAATCCAACTGTGATTCAGGGTTGTCTGATGAACCAGATGTAACCAGACAGGCGTTCGTGGACTGACAGGGAACAATTTGGAGTGTTCGACATTTTGTTTACATCCCGTAACGTTAAATACAGGACGAAATCATGCGCCGGGGTCCTTGTTTTAATATGGGTACACGTGCACTGAAAAAAGAAAACGGTATTGTAGAAGTTGAAGCCATTCGCGATTAGGAAAATTAGTTGTGTTCACTTAAACTTTGTAAATAGTTTAAATTTTACAACTACTTCAAATTTGGCATCTACTTCAAATTTGGCCTCAGGGGTTGAAGAAATTGATTTTTACGACATAAATCATCAATGAACGAAGTGGTAATATAGGGATGACAGTTTAGTCAACATTTCGCTATCAACTCTTGTGATGTCGGCTAAACTGGCGTCTGTCTTGTAACGGTTAGATCCTTTGCCTTCGCACGCTCGCAGAAGACTCGAGTTCGATTGCCATGTTGAGGTAACTTTTTGCGAGTACATTAGTCTTTCTTCGTGGATGCTGTATCCGTTTCAGCCCGGGTTGGTCTGACAGGCACGGTCGAAACTCGCCTCTCTAATAATCTAAACTGTACCAATGGGATTGTTGGAAACACCCTTTTTTTAAAGCTGTCGGCTAGTACAGAGATAACCATCGATTAATAATAATATAGCCAGGGCACACCGCTCTGGGGGCTACATTTTAAACAAAATAAAGGCCCCCTGAAAGTTTATAAAACAATTTCGAAAAGCTCTAGTAACATCTAGATGCCTCTTTTAGAAGCCCAAGTTTGACCTTTTCAGAAACAGTCAGTTTTTCTATCGTGGTTGCTTTAATGCTGTCTCTGCTGCTGCTGTTGCAGTTATTGTTCGTATTGATTTGGTTATTTTTGGACCTTGCTTTATGGCTTTTCTGTCGATACCTGTCTGGTCGTTGCCGTAGGTTTTGATTGAAGTAGTTACAGCTGCCCGATTCTCCACTCGCACGGTTAGTTTCTAAAGGAGAGGCCAGCGGTAATGGTTTGGAATGACATACCAATGTTCTTTTTCATTTTTCAAGTTTTATTTTTTTCCTGAGCTGTTACATCTTTTTGCAGGTTTCATTTGTGGTGGTTGTTAGTAGGATTTTTATTTTTCGTCTGTCTTAAAAATAATAGTTGCAGTTTGCCATATTTTTTGTGATTAACAAAAGGAAGAGAATGAGGAGAGGATGCAGATAATGTTTCTCAAAGAGGATAATATTATTCATTTTTTATTCTGTTATCCGGAGAAGGTGTCTTAATGTTTGAAAAACTTTCTCATTTAAAGTAGGTACGTATATTACCATTAACATACTACTGGTTACTCGAGTTGTGATTATGCGTATATTCTTTCGTGTCACTCAAGCATGAGCTCTGAAAAAATGAGCTGCTTCTTTACAAGAACAAAACTACTTCCTTGAATATGACCAACCTTGCTCGCAAGTGCAGACCACACTCTGAAAACAAAGTTGATTGTCGATCTGTTGGACTGGAAACTGTAATTTTCTTCCCTCAACAACCTAATAGGCTGTTCAAGAAGGAAGAGGACCCCCCGTCCATATCGTTTGCAATCAAAGAGACGGGCTCAGAACGACAACCAAAATATTTGAGCTAAACTAAAACAACACCAGAGACGATAGAGGCCCCAGTATTGATCGTGCGCGTCCGCTTTCGGTGTTCTTTGCTCTCTCGGGACAAAATTTAAACTGAAGAGTGGGCCACCCGATGCCTTGGCTTACCGTACTCATTTTTGCTTCCGTTTGCGGAGAGGGCTTTAAGTTGGTGGGCGGGGGTCTTCGTTGCTTTCTCTCCTCTTTTATTTTGAATAAATGTTTGCGTATGGTTTACATTCTATTATCTGAGTTAGAAATCCCGAAGTGTTGAGTCTTCAGGGTAGATATTAAGGGTGTTTCCCACTGTGAAGGGAGCGATTGATCTACATAGTCTCAAAGTATTGCATTTTTATATTATAAAACATTGTTTGCGTGTGTGTGTGTGTGTGTGTGTGTGTTTGTGTCCGTGTGTAATATCGGGTTTGTGTGTTTGTGTGTGTGTGT